CCAACCTTTGCCAATATCTTCCAAAGAGCTTCTCTGTTAACCGAATCAATTTTTGCAGGTATGGTCTCAGTAATCCATATTTTACTTATTAGTATGTCGATTTGGGCTCCTTGTTCAAAGAATTCAAGAGGCATGCCGTTAGTACCGGCTGACTTATTGTTCTTTAGTTGTCTAATTGCCTTTTCAACCTCCTCAAATCTGGCACCTCGCTCAGTTCGTGTTCTATTGGTTTCTGTGGAATTTTATCATTATGTCATGATCAATTTGTGATTCTCTGCTAAGTAGTTCCAGAAAGTGTTCCTTCCAAGGAGAATTATTGAAGGAACTGTCTTTGAGCAGTCTTCTACCATCTTTGGATCGTAAGGAATTGAGACCTTGGTTGATCCGTATACCATTTTAGTAGCCTGAAAGAAGGCCCTGGTTCTGTTGCATTCAGCTAGTTGCTGCATTTCGTTTGATTTTGTCATCCACCATTGGTTCTTTAGGGTAAGGCTCCCTGATTCTGGGCGGGAACCCGATTAGTTTACCTACTACTTGTTCAAGGTGAGACCAATATATTTACTGAAGTTAACTTATACCTACATGGAGGTATCAATGGTGGCGTTCATCAAGACGTAGCGCTACTGTAGCGAACATAAATTGCTTGTTTTGTCATATGATCACTTGGCATCGCTCCTTGAGCTGGCGCTATTTTTCCCATCATAATTTAATTTCACTCCGCTACCGATAAATCAAGAAAGTCCTGATGAACGCGACGAATAACGCCGTATATCAAATCAAAACATGTAACGTTTTTAATTACTTTGGATTAAAAAGGTGTTATTGCTTACGGCAGCTGTTCATCGGAAAGCATTTATGGTCGTGTTTAAGGGGGTTTACTAAGGGCGCCACGAAGTTTCTATTTATAAGGTCTCAAACTTCGAAATAGACCTCAAAATTAAGTCTGAAATATTAAGAATAAAAAGAAATAATACAGAAACGCACTCCACTTAATTATGTTTAATGAAAGTTTATTGAAAAATTACAAAATCTAGAAGGTCAATTAAATGAAAATCATAAATGTAAGAATAATTCGATTCCAACTCAGTATCACCCTCAACTTAATATAATTCTGTAAAATAATAACAATGATCGATCATTTTTTTAAAATTATGACTCTTTACTGGTCTATCTGCCCTTAAAACTCATATGTTCAACCGGACAGCAAACTGAACATAGAAATGAGTCATTCCGTTTATTAGGAAATGCTCAATTAAAAAATATACAATATTGAACGACTTCGTAGAGTCTTCTGCTCTGACAACTCACAGGCTTAACCGAACAGCGAACTAAACCTGGAAATGAGACATCCCAATTGGCTAATGCTCAATAAAAAAAATATATATATATATAAGGTAAAAATTAAACATAAATAAACCTGTAGATACTACTTCCATGTCGAGGAGTCATCAGGGAAGATAGGCACTATCCATCTAAGACCATGAAAATGACCCCATAAGTAAGGACACAGGAAACTTAGGGAAGCATGCCGTCCTTATTGAACTGGCCCAAAACTAAGCCTGGATGTAGGGGTAGCAGTAGGACTAGCAGTAGGACCCTATCAGAAAATTCAATTACTGATGGTCTCTTTTTTATTAAAAGAAAGGTGAAATAGACAAAAAGCTGGTCTACTGATTAAGTTTATAATAAAACACAAAAATACATGGCTCACCCTAAATAAGACGTTCCTATACCATGATTTGGCACGCGATACAGGCACTGGCATCACCAGAGGAGGTTGCAAATCAAGATAGGCTGAAGAAATAATTATAAACTTAAGGGATGTTCAAGATATTGGAGGATTTGTCACGTACCTGGTATGTTCCAATAAAATTACAAAAGTGGCCGAGTGGACGAACAAACTACTTCTTCAATTAGCGATAAATGGCACCCCGCACCACAGCGAAAGAAATTTGAGAGATTCACCCATTCAAGAGACTTTTTAGAAAATTCAGCACGCCCGCCCAAAAATCACAAGGGCGTCACTGACGTCGACTCTCTCAATCGAGCCACCAAGAAAGAGTGAATCGTCTTAAGGTAAGGTCGTGCGCAATTCAAAATTGCAGAATTAGAATTAAGTTAGCCGGAGGTGGCATTGGAAGGATATAGAGCTGGTCGAAAATCAATAAATAGAGATGGGCTGGTGCCACCCGAATTAAAGTAGTACTTACATAAAAATCAGATTGACTCCTAATTGCAATCTCAACCTGAATTTAAATGGAATAGGTATGCTGGCCTTAAATGCATTACAATAATTAATATATACAGTTATTCCGGTGATTACAAATAAAAACACCTAGAATATAATCATTTTACATGCTTAAAATAATAATAAAATGACAAAGTAGCTCAATTGCTACAAACACCAACGAGAATTTCAGCCGTAATAATAGACTCTCGTGAAATTACAATCTGAGATGTTTTAATAAAATTTAAACTCTTAATTAAAAAATTAAATTTTATCATGTGATGAGTTCTAAACGTAATTCATATGTATTCCACAGCAGAGCACCTGGCATTAAAGCCACACAGACTTGTGCATATTTGCCCATATTGCAATCGTATATTGAGGTAAACACGTAGCATAGGCTTGATATGTGCCCGATTCAGAAATACTCGTGATAATGTTTATTTATAATTTAATTCACTTAGGCAGGACACCATCAGATAAATTTGCGATAGGTACTATCGTTTAAAAACTTTAGTGCTCTTCTTCTCTAGGGCTGTATTTAATAATATTATTAAACTCAACAACCGAGAAAAGAGAAACTAATTGTCTGCAGACGTTGTGCTTCACTGGGCCAATACGTAACTGTCGCTGCACTATAATTTTTAACGAACCACCGGAGAAAAGCTTGAATTCTGGTAATGAGATTAGGCAGTTTAAATATGAGCTTGATAAAATAAAATGAAATTGTAACCTGCGAACTTTTGCGATACATAAGTTTTCTTATTTGCTGCATTATTGATTAAACTCTAACTACGTCTAATTTCCACTCGCGTCTCTACCGCGCAACTTTTACTAGTTGGTACTGAAATCGACTTTTCTTTTCGACTCGCGCAAACTCATTTCCAACTTTGCCTTGTGAGCAAACAGCAAGTACCACTTTGTTGATGTTCTGAAATGATTCGATAGTGACGGAGTGAATTTTTTGTGTTTATGAAGCTTCTTATTATGAAATGTGTATAAAATTATTGAGATTTTTATACTTCCCTATCTATTTATGATATTATAGTCTACTTTACGTCTAACTTTAGACAGTAATTTTCTAGTTCTAGCTCTAGCTGAATATTATTCAGCCTGCTTACGCTCTAATTAGGTGACATTTGCTTTTTCACTTCACTTGTTAAGTCCTTCGAGGATGGGATAGGGCGATCCAGTTTTATTGCAATTTTGCACCATTTTATGGGACTTTCTCCCTGACACCAATAAAATAATAATCTAGGTTAAACTGGCTTTTATGATTTTGTCTTCCCAACCCTTGCCCTATCTATAGTTTTGGAAAATATACTCACTATAGATTCACTCTCCAGTTTTCAAAATTAATTCATTCATTCTGAGTTTGGGCATAAATTTGGAATGCGCGCGACTCTCTTGAGCCTAACAACAACTATCATTTTTATTATTATTTCTTCTATCGCATCATTCTGACTTAATTTCTTTGCCTCCAATTAACTACAATTTTATCAACTCGAATAAAAAAAAGCGTGACAAAATATCAAAATCCTTATTCCCAATTCTTTTCTAAAACAAAACGATTTACCAAATCCTATCTGTATCAATGTCTATAAATCTGTTTCTTTCAATCATATATGGAAACTTGTTTCTCACAGCAGCAAAACTTAATTTTGTTGTTTGTTTGTGTGTGTAACCGAATAAAACGGTGGCGCTAAGATCCTGTTACCCGAAGGGGTAAAAGAAATCGTCAATGCTCCAACGACCCTTGTTCAATTGAATTTTTTCTCCTTCTACGCCAGACATTTGGCTTGGGTTTGACTACGAATGGCAGCTATTTTATTAAAGTTTGGGTTTAGATAATATTTGGGAGAGTCAATTTAACTTTTTGCTTTTTGCATCTATTCATTCAATTTGCTACGTAGATAACAAAAAAGTTTAAATATTTTGGTTATTTATATACGTTTTCTAGGTAAGTCTGAAACAAATAAGAACGAAAAACAAAATGATTTGAAAAACAAACACGATAGCAAATATAAATAGTATTATCAATAAGTTCATCAAAAGCAAACTACATCATCTAATTCTCCACTTTGTACGATTTACATCGGGCTTTAAAAATTCATCTTTTTTGAAACTTGACTGTATTTTAAACTTTTATGCCGCATTTTCCTTCCGACCCTTAAAAAGAAGCGAAAGGAATTATTGTACAAAAGGGATTTTCTATAGAAAAAATGTACCAAAACATATTTTATTTATCTCCCCCTCACCATTACGTTCTACGGCTACGATATCAAATTTTACAGCGTCTCTCATAAATATTGGATTTGCATGACATTTTCTTTTCCGAGCGAATACAGTGTCATATAAATTTCAGGGCGCGGGAAGAATTATAATAGTTTTTAGACTATGTATCAAAATATTAATAGTTATATTCAAGCTTTTGGTAAAAGTTTTGAAAACAGGTGACACGTGGTTCGTTTGAGTCAGTTTTATAAATCACACAGGATTCGCTTTCTATAGCAAAAGTTCTCGGCGGTATGAAGTGATCAGTTGACACAGAAACTGTGATTACTGCACTGGAGAAGAGGTATAATGACGTATATTTTTCGTTAACTGCTCTTCCCGTGAAAAAAGCTCAATTGTTGGCCTGGTAATTGAATATTATACTATACTAAACTTTACACTTTAAATTACCTACTTAAAATAATATAAATTTATTTGATCGTCTCAGGTTCCATAATTCTTTAGACTATGATATTTATGTTATTATTTTTTTTTCCAGATAATAGCAGTATTCAGAAAACCAGCAATGCGGACACCCAGAAATATGTTTATAGTGAACCTAGCAGTAGCCGATCTACTACTATGCACAATAACAATGCCTCTAACTTTAATGGAAATTCTTACCAAATACTTTCCATTGGGAAATAATCTATTTGTATGCAAGACCATTGGAATACTTCAAGCAACGAGCACTTACGTGTCGACCATATCGATTACTGCTATTGCTTTGGATAGATATCAAGTAAGTGCTTCTTTTACTTATTTTTTGGATATTGAAAAAAATATCAAATTGAATTAATTGAGCCGATACTTGGTGAAGATTGAAATCTATGGTTGGGAAAAATAAAACTAATTTTTACTATATTTTGACTATTTAATTACACAGTAACATGTTTTGAAAACATCCGGTATAGTGAAAATTAGTATGATTTTTCCCAACCAATATTAAATTGCTTCAGAAATCTGAATATAATTTAAAAGGGAAAATAAGGAAATTGAAATCGTAGGTCCTAGAGTCTTGTGCGAGCAAATTATGCCCTAGCTCAAAATATAACGATTCGGAGAGTGAAGCGGTTTATTTCTGGGCGCCATTGACTTGGGGACAGAAACGTTAGATTCTCCAGGTTCTTATCTACTTCAAGACTGAACTCGTTCTAAATAAATTAGGAAAAATATGAAATAGTTTTTGAAGTGGTTCATATTGCCTCACAATCCTCTGGACTGCTAAAGATAGAGTTGGGCCAAACAAGGTAAAGAGTTCGGGGCAAGCTTCCCGTGAAGATTATCAAAGGAAAAATTCTTTGGATCAAACACGTGAAAGATCAAGTAGACAATCACTTACCGAAAATGTTTGCAGAAATCGGTAGGATAGTACCACGGTTCCGAAATTTGAAGAATATTAGGTAAAATCCCTTTTTGGGAGTAAAGTAAGAATAATTCTTCCAAGTCAACCTCTATCTTAAAATATCCCAAATCGCGAAGAGAGTCTCTGACAATTCGTAGGTGATCCCGCTCACTTTCAAGAATAGAGATGACCTATCCCCATGATCTTTTTATAGGAAAACTTATACATTTTATCAAAATCTTATACAACAATGTTCACCACGAAAAATACATTAGGCAATCAGCGATAACAATAATCAATAAATATAGGCAAGAAAATATAATTAAAGAAAAACAAAAGGTCAAAAATTAATTTCCAAAATTGACTAGCCAAAGCATCGATATCCGAAGGCAGCACTAATCAAAAAGTTATCAATCAAAACAGGTCATATACGATCGATATAGAATAAGATGAAAATTCCACATTTTTGCTGTCGAACTTGTTAAGCAATTTTAAACCGACAAGGGCGCATACAACCAGATCACAACGCTTATACAGGACAAAATTATAGCCTCACTAAAATTTGAGAAATATGTGAATTAAAGAGTTGTTGAACATGGTCCAATGTGACATACCTAACCTAACATAAAACTTAAATCCAACAAAAAAAAATTAAATTTAAAATAAGGCTTATTGAATATTAGAAGGCTAATGGCATGACATGAAAGCAATTCAATTTACAGAAAAACAAACCATAATAAACCACAAATGTAAACAAGGGCAAGAAAATATATAAGTAAGCATTCAATGGGAATTCAAGAATAAAAGACTAAATGAAAATGATAGAATACACAAAGGCAATTTTGGCACGTCCCAAAGTACAAGCATAAAGAATTAATCGCAAAAACTGGCCAAGAGAAACCAACAATCATTTAATATCAGACAATACCAATACAATAATATGAGATATGTATTTCTGTATACTACCGCCAAGGTGAACAATTATTATTGAAAGGATTCGAAGCCCCAACTACAATGCAGTCAGTTAGGTAGGAGTACATTATATAGACTTAATGGATATCATTTTCTATATATTTTTAAAATATTCAAGGTTTATTGCAGCGTATAGTCCAATGAACTATAATCCAAAACTGGAATGCGCACACATAGCCATTTCCGCTAGAAAAATGAAGCCATCAAAGACGGATGCCACAAGGGGGAATGTTGTTCTTTTCTGTTGCTCGCTGACATATGACGTTTTGGAAAGTTTTGTTATATTCACCTACACAGGTTTTATCAATTGGAATACGTGTTGAAAGCAATTTCCGCCATTTAACGTAATGACTGTGACAAAAACAGTCATCCCCTCCGCAGTAGCGGCACTAGGCTTCACGTCCGTCAATATGTGTGCGCATTCCAGTTTTAGGTTATAGTTCATTGGTATAGTCAAAGTCAAAATTAGTGTGACGGTGCGCTTTCGCCAGGGTATACAGAATCCATGCCTAAAATTCCATAAAATACTACATTGTTCAAGAAAGGAGGCGATCGTGTTTATTCTGGATTTTACAAGAATGAATTACGGATATATAAAGGCCGGTATTAGTAGTTTTGTTTTGTTATTGTTGTGTTAATTGGATTTTGATTTTGGAATAAACGGACCCAAGACTTCTATTACGCACCCCAGAGCCGTGACATTGGTGTCAGAAGTGAGATATAATTCGAGGACTGCAAAGTGAAATCCGATTGCAGAAAAGTGCGGACTACTGCGGATACTAGTGTGGACACTAAGTAAAAACTGGGACAGTTAGTCAGTGTAAGCAGTGACAATCATCAAAAGAGAGTTGACCGATTGTGTAAATTACCCCGGAAGAGACTGCATATCCGATTTTGATTGTGATAGTGAATTTTCAAGTAATTTCTAGAAAATTCTATTTGGAAACCAAGGGAGATATCGAATTGGTGACTTCACCGACGTATTTACTATATCAATCAACATTCAGAAAAAATATTTCAAGAAAATTCTAGAACATTCTATTCGAGAATAAAGCACGTTATCCAATTTGTCACTTCACCATAGTGTTTGGAACTTCAATCAAAAACCAGGAAAGATATTTGGAGAGATTTTGAGGGAAATTCCAGAACATTCTGTATATGCCTATTACGAGACAACAAGCAAAAATGGAAGAACAAAAAACTGAAGAACTTCTGCGCAAAATGTTGGAACTTCAAGAGACCAAACGACAACAAGAAAAACAAGACGAAGAGGCCAGGTGACAAAAAGAAAAACAAGAAGAAGAAGCTAGACGACAACAAGAAGAGGCTGAACGAAAACAAGAAAAACAAGACGAAGAGGCCAGGCGACAAAAATAAAAACAAGAAGAAGGAGCTAAACGACAAAAAGAAAAACAAGAAGAAGAAGACGACGTTCAGGTACTAAAAACTGAGGTCAAAGCCGATGTCCAGCACTCAAGACAAGAAGTTGAGGACCAAGTTCCAGCACTCGAAGATAAGATGAATAAATTAGAAATACAGTACATCAATCCAGGTAGTGTTGCAGCATCATTCTCTAGTATGAAGATAAAACCATCAACTTTTGACGGTTCTACGTCCTGGACCTGGGGGTCCATTCTTAAATATTCTCGCATACGTAAGTGGATTGGAATTCGAGCGACAGCAACGTAAATTGAATAGGAAACATTTGAAATCATATCAATTTTCGTATGCGAGATAATTCAAGAATTGGGGGCCTGGACTGGTATACCCGACAATTTGAAGCCTCTGCAAAAATCAACGGATGGAACGATCAAGAAAAAGATACAGCACGGATAGTGGCGCTACGAGGACCTGCCTTAGTCAATTCCTTCAATGTACCAACAGAATTACCAGCATCTAAGTCAGACGTTAGAATTGCGCTTCGGAGACCATTATAGGCAAGAAGTATTTAGAACTGAAGTTAAATCAAGAATTGAAAAACCCGGCAAGATCCAGGAAAACCTGAGAATGTGTAAGAAAAAGTAGAGAAGCCCTTGTCGGAGCATTGGAACTGGAAGCTTGGGTGCCTCACGATCCAGAGTACGAGCAGTGTCCATTGAAGACCCAAAGGATAAACAATCGTCAAAAGAGGATGGTAGCTTCGAGAATGTTATGAGAAATTTGGAGAAAATGAAGAAACCAGTAGTAAAATTCACGGTTGCTGTAGCCGTTCTCTGCTTTTTTTTTCGCTTTTACTCCACCGTTCGCCGTTCGTTTGGCGGTACAGCCCAGCAAACCAAATAATTTTTGCCACGTTAAGTGTTTCCACGTATTTTACCAATTTGCTCCTGGATAGAATATAAAAATGGTTAATTTATAACTTCACAGGCCAAACGAAAACTAATATCACCAAAAAGAATAAATTAATAGACTGAAACTAAAAATCTGGCCTACGGATACTAATTTTCAAAATAATTGACCACTGCTAACGCCAACGTTTATAAAGAATTATAAAAGCTCACGATCGTCACAAACGCACTTTAAGTTAGACAAAACACTTTAAGGCTAACGTAGAATTTGACATGTGCGCATGCGCAGCTACGTTTTACTAAATATAGTGTGTTACGTATCACGCTAACAGAGACAAGACAAGTTTAAGTTAGCCAGAACACGGTAACGCTAACGTTGGATTTGACAAGTACGAATGCGCAGTTACGTTTCACTAGAGATAGCGTGTTTCGTGTCACGTTATTTAGCGGGTTTATGCGTGTACTTTATACGTACACGTACGCTAAACGAAGTGAGCCCGACAGCCAGAGTAGTTTTCTCGCGGGGCAAATGGTTCGAACCATTTCGGAGCACGAAACACCAGAATATAGGTGGGTGAACGAGGCGCAGGGGATAACAGAGATGAGTAGTTGCACTGGAACGGAACGAAGTAATTGCGGAACACTCCTAAGCTGCTCCGGAGTAACTCGAGTGGGTCACTCACTGGAAAGCACCTCACGTCTATTTATAGAACAATCCATGAGTCCAGTTCGAACTTTTTCAAACCATGTTCAATAGTTCAATGTGACGTCTCTGGTTCAATGCGAGAATGGATGTATGTATAGTTCCGAACCTAATTGAATCGGATCCAACCAGTTCCACCGCGAGGAAACAGCTCAGATTTCCGGGATCGGCAGTTTCCGAATGCATTTAAACCCCAAAAAAAAGATGACGTGAAATTCAAATTACAAAAAATAATTTTTAATTTGTTCTGTTCTCGTTGTTCTGTGCACTCTGTTTCTTTTAAAATCATATCTGCATATTCAAATCTGAAATGCTGCTTAGCTTCTTATTTTTTCTAAGGAGAAGCGACCATATAAATTCTCTCTAGGAACCCTGCATTATTGTGCATTACTTCTACAAGCAGAGTCATCGTCAGAATTCTGAATCTACCATAA